CAGGTAACTGGTTGCACTCGTTAAAAATGAGCCAGGTTGAGTGCCATCTTGTGGCTGCTGGCAGGGCTGCGCTTGTGAGGATGCCGTCCAATCACATTCAACTGAGTGTTGCCTCCTTCCAGGTTCTGACCTTTGACCTTGGTCCTCTCAGAACTGTAGTCTGCAGTTTAGCAGCAGGCTTGTATCTGGGACTCAGCAGCTATTTTGGTCCTGGGTTTGGGCCTGGTGAAGTAGGCCATGGAAGTTTCTGGAGCACATGGTGTGGGTTGTGCCCAGGACCCACCGGGTAATGTAATGTTTGAATTTGCATGATTAAAACACTGACCTTAAGCTGCCCCTTCAATGCTCCGTTATTTTAGCAGCTCCAGGGGGGGCTTTCAGGATTCAGCAAACACTCATTTTTACTCGGGTACTTAAGGATATTCAGGCTTCGGATGGCATGCTGGCCCAGTGTGGAGACCTGTCCCCTCACGCCTCCAAGGCTAGGAATTTCATTCCCACCCCTCACTTCTGTGAGTCTGCATAAACTCCTTGTTTGTGTCGGTCTCCTTGTCAGTCCAGAAACATGCTGTTAGTCAACCTGAAGTCTCATGCTCTGACTTGCAGTGGACTGAAAGCAGCCCAGTCCCCGTGCTGTCCGGAACAAGTCCCTGCACCCCCTTGACTCTGCACTGGGCACACAAATATGGAATTGTTATGGTATTTAACATTATAAACCATTTGGAACAGGCTGGAGTATCTCTGTGACCCTGCACTGGACAAATTGCAGTGGAACTCCTATGGTATTTAATGGTATTAGATAACACTGCTGACTGCACTAGGCCAAGTCCAGTATGCATAGAAACTGTATGCAATATAAAGAATTATATTTCACTATAATAAAGAACTATATTATTATATTATAAAATATGGTAGTGCTTTTGCCTCAGAGCTCCAGGATTGGGGAATAAATCTCATCACTGTGTGTTTAGAGTTTGCCTGTTCTTTCTACGCGAGATCATGGCGACGATCTCTAGCGAACTTCCTGGATCACTAACCAACATTAACAATAAATTGGGGTTGGAATGCCCCGAATTAACCTCCCTGCTTATCTGCATGCTGCAAAAGGAGGGTGTTCACTTCATGGTTTGCAGACACACACACTGGGCTGCGCACGTGATTCAGATTCACAGCCAGGGCTCATATAGGTTTATGTAGTAGTTGATACTTTATTGATCCCCATGGGGAAATTCTCTTTATGCCTCCCTCAACTTGCTCTCTTCTGTGGGTGAGAGCAAGCTGGCTGTGAAGGGCAGCCACCCATAGCAGCACCCAGGGAGCTGGGGGTTAAGGGCCTTGCTCAACGACCAGCAGACATGCCAAGGCCAGGGATTGAACCGGCAATCCTTTTAATCACAGGTTCTTAGCCCACGGAGCCACGCCCGGCCCCAGATGTGAGACTCAAAAAATATACAATAATTTCTTTGTTTGCATAGACATGTGTGTGTGGAGACAGATACAGTCCTCTGCTAACAATTGCGCTGGAGGGCTGCACACTGATGTGAGATATAAGAGGTTGTTTGTGCTCTGGTAAAGTCGGCGGGGGCTGTCCCCAGCCCGGGGTTTCAGAACCTCCTTGCAGCACCTCTGAATGGCAGGATGCCCCCCCCCCCCCCCCCCAGAGAAGCGAGCAGCCGCCCTGCCTTCGCTCATCATTCCTTCGCTTTCGTGTGTTTGCTGTGTTTTCTGGTAATGAGAACAGTATGTCGGTGGCTGGAAACAAATCACAATGCATATTGGGGTCTGGGGGGGGGGGTTAAATTTGTTTAAATATTTTTTAGCAGATGTTTTTATCTAAAGAATGCAGTTGAAAGCTGGGTCTTCCTGAGCCTGGAGCAGCTAGGGGTCGAGGGCCTTTGCTCAAGGGTCCAACAATGGACTCAGTCTGCTGACCAGGGGATTTGAACTGGCAACCCTCAGATCAGGGATAAAAAGTCCTAACCCACTGAGCCATACACTGCACGGGAGTTAATTGGTTGACCCCAGGCTTGAACCCACAGCGCAGTCGCCAGCCAGGCTGCTTAGAATCGCAGTTTCATTTTCACATTATTGGAAACGGGGTTTAGGGGCAACTGACTGGAAAGAAATGCAAAGATGGCCTTTATTTTAATTATGTCACCGTCCTTGGTGTGCGAGCCTAATGCTGGATAAATGTAAAAATTTGTCATGGCAATTTAAAAAGTATTAAAGTTCAGATTTTTGTTGGGTCTGGGATCCAGCATGTAATTATACGTAAATCACTGGGGATGACACAGACGATTAATTCAAGAAATGAATGCGTCTGAAATCTATCGCTGGAAAGTGATAAATTCGTGCATGTGTGTCATGGAATAATGCATGAATGTGGGTGCCGTCAGCATAGCTTGTCAGGTCACCTGTCATTCCTGGCTAACCTGGATATTTTATTTTGGTGGCGTGTTGCTTTGTGGCGGTCAGAATTAAGACGGGTCATCTGTAGTTTTCAGTCAGGCAGATTTGTCAGGTGCTGTGAGTAGTAAAATTGCCTTGTCATGCCCCCTACTGGCAAGCTGGTGTTACTGCTCTTTGTGCACACAGCCTCAGACTAATTACATCAGGGATGCCTATTTTAATGCTAAGGGTTAGAAGATGGGGTTAGCGCTGTTGCCTCACACGCCTCTGGGTTCAGTGTTTGTGTCCCTGCCATGGCTCTGTGCGTGTGGAGTTTGCATGTTTGCCCTGTGTTGTTGTGGGGTTTCCTCCTGGTACTCCAGTTTCCCCAGTTTCACTGTCCAAAAACATGCTGAGATTAATTGGAATTACTAAATTGCCCATAGGTATGAACGGTGTGTGAGTGAGCACTTCGATGGGCTGGCACCCCAACCTGAGAATGACTTCACCCTAATGTGCCCCCTTTCGGCCATTAGAGGGACCAGGATGCAGAGGATACTGCAACCCAGGGTTCCCCAATTCTGGTCCTGGAGGGCCAGAATCCAATGCAGTTTTCAGATTTCCCTGCTCAAACGCACCTATTAAACCTGGCAATTAGCTGGTGAACTGAATGTGTTTGAGCAGGACAGACTGACCCTCCAGGAACTGAACTGCGGAACCCTGCTGTAAACAATCAGGTAACTAATAGCATGTTACTCCCACTCCCACCCTCTTTTGCTTCCAGCTTTAGCAGTGTGATCGCTACCTGCCCATCCAGTTGGTATTAAGGCTTGCTGCTCTTATCTACTGGAATCCAGTTAAGGAACTGCAGCGTTGCAGAGGGAATTGGAAAACCTGCAAGATAAATTCAAATTCAAAATAACTTTATTTGTCCCCGAGGGGCAATTAAAGGTACACAGGGCAGTTGAACAAGGACACAATGACATAAAATAGGTGGTTTAAATAGCCCAGCCTGCTGTCCTGTCCTGCCAGAGACAGGCCCTAAGCTCACAGTGACACTGGATAAGTTGTTGGCAGATGGATGGACAGAATTATAAAGGACAATGACTGTTTGATTTCAGACACAGAACATTTTCTCACAGTGTAGAATGAGGAATCAGTACATTTGAAGAACATACCTTTTATTGATAGCAAAACAGGAACTGAAAAAATACTGAGTCTCTGCAAGGTCAGAAATGCCTGTTCTTTAGAACCCTTAGGGTCATCCATGGGAGCTAATTACTGATCCACAAATACCATCCTATGGAATAAAAATGGCTTATCTTTCTGTGGGGAGAAATGGATCTGCTTCGGTGGTTCTGGATATTTGCTGACTGGTGCATCCTGCTGACGTCCTGCCACTTGCCAGTTTAGAACCGCGGCTCCCAGCAGGCGCACCCTTTTAAACTCCAGTGAGCGGCCTTTCACCCCCCCTCCTGCTCGTCCACAGCACTGGATGGACCATCTTCTTGTATCTGTACCACCAACAAAACCATCTCTTGAGTTTTAACCCAACAAGAACCAATCAGATAACTAATGACAAGGAGGTTCGACCAATCAGTGGTTGTCGACACATTACTCCTCCCACCCTCTTTAGCTTCCAGCTTTTGCAGTGGGATCGCTACCTGTCCACCCAGGTGGTTTTATGGCCTGCTGCTCTTATAGTCTTCCGGAATGAAATTAAGGAGATGCTGTTTTGTAGATCAATCGCACAGGGCCCAGATGTAGTTTTCAAAACCCTTAATAACTTAAGCAGCAGTTAGTGTTTTTGTTATAGCCTACTATGCGCATGTCTCAGCAAGGCAACCAGGGGATATATAGGGAGTGAATACCAAGAATGTGGTTGGGGGGGCCTGGGTGTCAATTACAGCAATGTTTCCAAATTCTATCCTCAGGGACCCACATGTTTTTGCTCCCTCCTAGTTCCTTATCAGGAAGCAAAAATGTGGACTGTCCGGCAGGGAGTTGGGAGGGAGCAAAAAAAAGTTCCTGAGGACTGGGTTGGGAAACGCTGAGTTACTGTGTGAAGCTGATTTGGGAAGTATTGCCATGTGTCTTCTGAGGCTGACCACTGGGGTATGGACCAGCAGTGCTCTCAGGCTTCCTCAGAACGATTTCATGATGTAGCACGTTCACATTTTATTTCCACCCAAAAGAGCAGCTAGCAGGTGATTTCAGATGTGCTTGGAACTGAAGAATATCCGACAGCAGCAAACTGGCACCACCTAGTGGTGATGTTTAATAATTGCATTGACTTAGATAATGATTCTGTATGTACGTTGTAATATTGAGTGACAACCATAGAGTGCAATAAGAGTTTTCCTTGGGAATATTATATCAGCAGTACAGCTACTGATATGTTATACTGAGGTCATAATTCAACAGCGAAATACAAAAAGAGTCTTAGAAATTATGGATGGTCATTTTTAAAACTCTATTGCATGTTGTGAAGGGTTTATTTGTATTGCATCTAGTGGCATGTGAGCGGTTCTTTTGATTAGAATATAGTGATGCATAGTGATGATTCTGGTCTGTATGTGTTTTGATAGTTCTCTGTTTCTCCTCTCTTTCAGAAGGAGCTGAGTCTTCCCAGGAGAGGCAGCTTGTAAGTATCAGACCGGATGGCCACCTGATCCATGTCAGGGGGGGGGGGCAGTATGAACTAGGAAAGGGTTTGTATACTCCCATTTCAATTAAAAAGAGTGGATTTCATTTTAGCACTGAATACTTGCTTTGTGCTGATTGTTCAGTCTTAAATAATCATGCATGTGTCACAAATGTTAAAAACAAATGTAAAACAGCTGGATGAGTCTTTCAGTGAAGAAAACAAACCAGTCAAAACACAAGATGAGATGAACTAATTGACTAGTTCAGCGTGTCTCCCTGACAAGGATTATCTGGCCACCCTAACCCCACCTTTACAGTCTGTTACTCTGTGCTTTTTGTGAATTTTGGACTGAAGCAGCATCGTTGGGATTGTAACTCCTGGTGGAGTTTGTTTGGCTGAGATCTGCTGAGGAATCAGTATTCACCCCAACTTTGCGAGGACACCTAACTACTCTATTCCTCCTTGTTCCTGGCAGGTCTCTTATATGTGGCATCAGTTGTGATGGTTCTGCCTGATGGTGTCTCTCCTGCAGCTGCCCTGTTAAAGCCTGTATTAAGTTTTGACTCATTTGCTGCCATCTCAGTGCCCCGGCTAGGAGAGCAAACCAGTTCGATGGGTGGGCAGTAAGACAAGTCTTGGGGATTATCATTGGATAATCCTGACCTTTCACCCTTCCCTCCCTAGCTGTGTCCTCGGCCTGTGCTAGAATCCAGCCAGCTGTATGATACTGTTGCTATGGTAACAGGCTCCACCTTCGCATCTCTTCCCCTGGCATCATTCCCCAGCAACATGCCCCATGTGCATGCAGTGCCGCCGTTCTTGATTAGCTGATAGCTGGGACTGACCTATGACTCCTCCCTCGGCTCAGAGAACGGACCAATTGCCTCTAGTTTTATCCTTTCGTGTGCACGCTATTCGTTTACCTTGTGACTGATGGCCTGCTGCATCTTTCCTGCCCAGTAACTATGAATGAATATAGGAACGGTTTTGCTGATTGCGCAGTGTTCTTTAGGTAACTGCCTCTGTATGCTGTTCTGATTGGATGATACCAAGCAGGATTATTGAATGTGGTCATGCTCTAAATGCTAATGGTCACATTTATACTGTATGACATGGGTCTGTCTCACACTGTAAAGCTCTGAGAAGCAGCACTGAGGTGTGTCTTCTCTCCTTGGACAGTGAAAAGCTGGTAATAGACAGGGAGGGTCCTGCTCCCAACCAATCAGCCGTTGCTTGTAGGGCATGTGTAAATATCCATGACCTGCATTTTTGATATTAGCCTGTAATGAAACTGAATTAGAACATGGGCCATAGTGACATGATGGCACAACACAGAGTAAATGTGTCAGGATCAGTCCCTTTATCTGTCATTCCCTTGTTTGGCCAGCTGGTGTCGCTGGCCATCCTGTTCTGTGTGCACCTTGGTTTTAGCTCCTAATGCGTTCACCTGTTCCCTGCACGTGGCTAAATGGGTGAAGCGGGTGCCTCTGAGCTGTGTCTAGTATTATTATTTTCAGTTTTGCCAGTGTTCCCAGTATTTGAATCTGTAGTGTTGGTAATTACCCTCACCTTTTGTTTCGTCACTCTTAGTTCTTAGTATTTGGCTTAATTTCTGTGGGTTACATCTGTCCCTTGTTTCATATCCATTATCATGTATATTTAGTTCTTGCCCTTACGCTGTTCCCTGCTTGTTCTTTGTGGTTGTTCCTGTCTTAGCTTCAATTTAGATGTGAGTATTGCTTTGTGTTTCGCTCCCTGTGTCCTACCTACCGACCTTTGATAGACCCCTCATGGTCCCTTTTGTTTCTGGTTTCTTTTGAGTTCAATAAAGTCCCTTGTTTTGTGAAGCCACAATGTGGGTCATCCTTGTGCCATGCCCTGCCACCATAACAAAATGCTCTAAGGGCCAGGTAAAAATTGGAGAAGCTCTTCTGTTTTTCCAGCAGTCTGTGCCTCTAAATAGTGTCCCTGTGTTCTTGGGACTCATGTACATATGTGAGTGGAAAGGAAAGAGCATGCACACGCACACACACGCACACACACACGCACACACACGTGCACACACACACCCCTTGAACAGCCATGGACCATGTCTGACACCTTTTGGGCTGTTCTCTCTGCTTACTGGCTTCCGGATCTCGGCGTGCTCCGTACACCGTGACCCCTGGCTCTTCATCCACGAGCCTTCTCTCACTAAGATGGATGCCCTCTTCTGATCTTTAAGCCGTGTGTGGCATACTGTGCTCACGCTTAGCGTCCAAAGATGTGGTCGGGCAGATCAGTAATGTTATCCATAGAATGTGAGTATAACAGGGCCTGTTCAGGCCTCATCGGAAGGATGTGCACCTACCGAGATCCTGGGCACTGAGTTTCTGGGCACTGTGTTTCTGGGCACTGAGTTTCTGGGCACTGTGTTTCTGGGCACTGAGTTTCTGGGCACTGTGTTTCTGGGCACTGAGTGGGATTTGATCGTAATTATTAATTTGACCCCATCGATCTGCCCCTCAGTATATAATAAGTTCACTGAAGCAGAATCAGAACTGGGTCTTTTGAGAATCCAGTGACACCTGCGTAACAGTCGAGTTTACGTAGACTTTACTTTGAGTTTGGACTTAGAAAATCTAAAAGGAGCAAGGTAATTATGGATGATGCAGTCCCGTTTCCTGTCCTGGTGCCACTGTGCCAGCGGGCTGAAACGTGGATGACATCTTTGTCCCACCTGGTTACTGGAGACCCACTGACCAGGCATCCTTCTCCTCAGCTGCCGGACCAGCAACAGGAAGAGCCTGATCGTGACCTCCAGCACTTCACCCACCCTGCCCAGACCCCACTCCCCCTCACACGGCCCCCCGCCAGGTAAGCATTTCTATAGGAAGACTGTCCATCTTGGCCAGATCATGCTGAAACGTCGAGATGATGCTCAGGGATTTTGTGAGGTCCTGTAAGGTTCCATCCCAGATGTCAAAGTCAAGGGCTAATTTCCTTACAGGCAAGAAGCATGGCTCTATTAAGCTAAAAGATAGCCTCACCCCCATGGTCCTTATTGAGTAATTATGTTTGTTAGCTTTAATGGAGAATCATCTTGGAGCTGCTCTCACAAATGACAGTCTGTAGATGGATAAAGCAGTGGGTGGTGTCTCGCTCATTGGTCAGCTGTGTGACTGAAATCAGTGGGGGGGGGCATATCCCACCCTCCCAGCGCCAGCCAGGTGCAGCTGTAAACATGCCCGCATGGTTGACCATTCAACCTCTTCAGATAATAAAACCAGCTCTCCCAACTGTGTGCCTATGGTGCTGCACCCCGCCCAATAGACCCCTGTGGAACGTCCCAATGAGACTATTCCTCTAAAAATCATATATCGGTAGCATTTATTCCCACTCTCTGCCCCTAATGAACTGTCTGTCCTGAACATTTCAACTAAGCCCACCTACTAGGTTTTGCGCCGCAGGAGAACAGCGAATGATAAGGACGTCGGCCATCTTGAGAGGTTTTCTCCTTATTTCCCAGCTCAAACGGCTCGTTTCCAGTGAAACCCACTGCAGACATCAGTCCAAAATCCACCCAAACCTTGTGTTTTTTTCCCCCTGCTCCGTCACCATCCCCGGTGTGAAATACCCAGGTGTTCTCAGCTGGGATCATGTGACCATCCTTTAATCTCCCTCAAAGGTGCAGTGTGTTGGCGCTGTTTGTCTCAGTGGGGCAGATGCATTATGTTTGGTGGGGGTGGTAAACAGAGATGCGTGTGCATAAAAGCTGCAGCTTGTTACACATGAAATTCCCGCCTCCACGCCCTTGAGCCTGAACATGGAGCAAACACAACACTCAATGTGAGGTAGGGTCACGATGTGCCCCCTCACAAAGGCGTTTGTTCGGAGCCCCCATTCTGCTTAAAATGCAAATTTATAGCTGCTAATGAAGGTCGAGTGTGTTCCACCTGAGCTGGAAATGCCAGGTGCTGTTTTTCACCCCAGGCTTCCGGAAGCTTCCAAGTCCTTCAGGAGGGCCAGATAAATGCACTGGGCTTTCAGTTTCTCAGGGCGCCTGAACAGACTCCATTTTGTGCTTCGTAATTGGCATCACAGATATAGTTCATTTTGCCTTGGGGGGGCATTTGCTTAAGCTGCCCCCCCACCCCCACTCCCCCCACCGGAGCAGCTCCTTGCTAATGAGAATAGAAACACTGGCTGGAAGCCTCCAAACACTCAAGGAGCATTTCACAAATTGTGATGTGTTGCTACGCTGGCACTTCTGGTCAAAGACTTGCAGCAGTTGGGCAAGGCCACACCTACATGCCACACCCACTTTTCAGAAAGACCAGCCCCCCAATTTACAGGAGAGCGGCATGGCACCTCAAAGGATCAGGGGCCACCAGCTCCCTCTGGATCAGCCAGAAAACAACCAAATACTGCATTTTAATTGCATACGGATTATCCCTCCCTGCGTCCATCTTCTCACGTGACCAAGGCTAGGTTGTGGGCTCACCGTGAGCCAGAATTGACGTCTTTTTTCAGTACTCCTCAAAAGGAGATGGACAGCATTGTTAACGCGAGCGAGCGCATTCCCCTCAGACCCGCCAGTCAGTCCAGCCGTCAGAGATGCAATGGCTCTAACCTTCCGGCACAATTTACTGGAACCAGAACCTGTTAAATGCCCCTAAGTATGGGATGCTGCTCTAGGTACACCAAGTCCCTGCTGGTTATTATTGGCTGCTTGAGCCTAGTAGGTGAGGTTTAATTAAAATAACAAGGCGGTGCATTAGTCCTTTTTCATTAGAAATGGTTTCCCCCCGCCTAGTTACTGCCAAACCACCAGCAGGGCTAGAGTGCCAAGTCTGCAAGCTCCTCCACAGCGACTTACTGCAGGGCTCTGCTGGATCTGGGTGGATGGATGGATGTTGTATTGACTGTAACCCTGTACTGTCTGAGCAGAGAGGGGGGGGGATGCCGAGATTGCCCTTGTTTTCAGAGACATGGCCCCCATCTCCCGTCTCAGCTGACAGGCTTTCTGATGGAGTCCCACTCACTCTATATCAGCTGCATAAAAATAAGCCATTCCCTACTGCCAATTAAACCATCAACTACTTTGAGCTCTGATTGGTGGTGGTGGTGGTGGTGGTGGTGGGGGGGGGGGGGGCTATATTCTGCCCCAGCAGGGGTTTGGGGGGATCAAGGGGGAGAACTCTTAAGGGTCCAATTATCATCTTAAAAGTCCAGTTAGGCTGGTGGAAATTGCTGATGCTGCGTATGGATAAAATATGCAGAGGACAAGGCCTGGATGTAATTGAAAGGGACAGAAGAGTCGAGACTTTGGTCCAAGCCTGCTGACTTTTCCCCAGACACGTAGGATGAGAAGTCGGGGCAAGATCTTTGGGTCGAGTGAGGTTCAGATCCCATGCCCCCTTGGAGAAAATATCAGCTAATGATGTCAGTCTTGAGCACGGACCGAAATGTACTGCCAGGCATATGGCAGCGGCCTCCCCGTTTCCAGGGTGCCATTCATCCTGACAGCTCCTCGTTTCTCTATCTTCATTCAGGTGCCTTTATTCTCCAGGGACAATTATGTGGTCATTAATATGTAACGTCCCATAAGAACCTAGGGCGCATGCATAATTAATAAGCATAGGCCCCAGTCTGATCCTGGTGGGGGTTCCTGTGCACCTTGAGCTGTTTTCACCTTCATTCACAGTCAGTCATCCTGAGCAGCTTCAAAGGTTTATTTTGTTAGTTTTAAAGAACCGAGTTTATTTCATTTTGATACGGCCAGTCAGTCCATCATAGGATGTCCACTCACAGACATATTCTCTAATGCATGTTTTTGTACTGCTGGAGGGAAGCAGAATATGATTCTTGATAGTTTTTTGGTCATGTGACCAGGAAGAGCTTTAGATTAGCTAACAACACATCACTGCTGATTCAGTCAGTGCTGGTCCTATAATATACAGTACATTTGTACTCATCCTTTTTTCCATCCCTCCATTCCCCCATGTCCCCCCGTCTCAGGGAGCAGCCCCCTGGACAGCCCGCGAAACTTCTCCCCTAATACTGCGGTCCATTTCTCCTTCATCCAAGCACGCAGGTAGGCTGAAGAAGAAGCTTGCACCAGCTAGGGTCTCAAGGAAATTCTACTGTACTGCACTCAACCACTGATTGTTAGATCTGCAGACTTCAAGGAAGCAAAATATTACAATATTGTCTTATATAAACATTAACATGATCTCATAGCTTTTGGCCTCTGAAAAAAAACAAACTGAATATTATTAATTTGTCATTAAATGGATAGATGGAATGATGGATGATAGCTTTTATTGTCAAGTACAATGAGATTCACTGTCCATTACTGCTTGCATTTGAATCCAGTGGAGAAAAATACCACTGAAGATAATAACACCTTAGTGCATCTGGGGGTTTCTTTGTTTTATGAGAAAGGCTTTGTTACTGATCCCAGTATCTAGGAGAGAGGACACTTTGAAGACTTTGAATCAAGGGCGCCCTCTAGAGGGTGTCAGCGTGCCTGTCCTGGCTATAAGGCGCTGGTGTGATTGTGTGATTAAGAAAATGTTACTTTCTATAAGTGAGAGAAGGTGTTAGAAGATGGATGAATAGATTGTTTTGATTGTCTCCACAGGTAGAGTCTGATGTGTGTGTGTATGTGGCAGGGGGCTGGGGGGGGGTGGGTTTGCCCAGGCAGTAATGCTATTCTTCTCTCCACGCAGTCACGGACACCAGGCTGAAAGGTAATCCATCACCCCCTCCCATTTTTACCTCTTTGAGTTGCCCGCATCCTGGGGGGAGGGGCCTACGTCCACACTGCCCTGTTACGGCCGACTCCTCTGCGCCCCCGTCACCCTCGGCTCAGCCCATTAAAGTGGCCCTATCTGCCTTTTTGATGCTGTGGATGGAACACAATTCGGTTTGGAGCTCTTTGCTGCTTGTCTGAAGTCCTAAATGTCCAATCAGGTGATTTTGTCATAAGCGGATAGTGCTCAGTAGGTAGTGTTGTTGCCTCAGTGTATATGATGTAACTATGGGGACTTTCCCATGGAGTAGGTTAGGAGTATCTGTGTGTGTAAAGGAATCCAGGATTCCCACCAGATTTCAAACCCAAAAGCCAGTGGTGGTAGCTTATTATGTAACGTCTGCCTGTGTAGTATTTTCTATCATACTGGGGGGTAACTCAGGTCCTCTTATGTGCTCCCCCCACCCCGCATGACAGAACCGATAGCCGCCGCTGGTCCCTGGCCTCTCTTCCCTCGTCGGGTTATGGAAGCAACACGCCCAGTTCGACGGTGTCGGTGAGTAATGTCTAACAGCATGGCGGTTCCTGCCACTTGGCTGCTCCTTTACTGCAGCTCTGAGTGAATTAATGGGAGGTGTACCAGTGCAGGACATCAGAGTATCATCATCAGAGCATCGCATTTTTATCTATGAAATCAAAAATGATATTATTGTTCTTCAGCATCAAGATATTGGTCGCTGTCTTGATCACTACCTTCCTCTAAAAAGTTGTATCGTTTCCCTCCACTTTTATTTATTTATTACTTTAAATCAATAAAAACCTGAAGATCTGAACTTTTCTGCTCAGTTTAAATTTGCTTTGAAAAAAAAAAAAATACACTGATGGCAATAAATCTGGTCACGAAGATGTAAAAGTGTCACCTCTGCATGGAGTTCGTCTAGGCAGGTGATACATAAGGAGAGTCAGTGTGTGGAGAGCCCGCCCCCTTGGCTTTTAACCCCGCCCATCTGCCTCTCCCAGTCGTCATGCTCCTCCCAGGAGCGGCTGCACCAGCTGCCCTTCCAGCCCACGGCCGACGAGCTGCACTTCCTCACCAAGCACTTCAGCTCTGAGGGCATCGCGGACGAAGAGGGCCAGTGTTCCCCCCCCCCGCGGCCCCGCTCACGCAGCCTCAGGTCCGTGCCGATCCCCGCCCCACCCTCGTCTCCGCTCCACTCTATGCAATATCACTCACACGACTCAACCTTCTTTGGCTCTGACAGGGATTTAAAGGTCACACTCTGGGAGCGGGCTTCGGGTTTTGACGGCCTTTCATCGAGTCGTGGGTGATCTTTTTTCTCCAGCTCAAAGGACTGACACGCCAGAGGGATTAAAACAAAAATCAGATGCACGACCCTGCTGCTGCCTGACAGAAATCCTCCCCCTCCATCTCTTTGCCCTTTCTGTCAGTGTTCTGCTCTTCATATCAAATCTACAGGCGATGCACAATTGAATAGCAAATTTCCAAAACTCACAGAGTCCACAGAATACGTTTTCAAGAACATTTCTGTGGATGGTTTTGGTTCCTGGTACTGTAATATATGATGAGGAGGCCTGACTTTAGGTCATCTATCTCAAAAACAACAAAAAATGGACTGACTTTTGGAAATTTGCTATTCAATTTATAGTTCAAGATTGTTTGCACTTTCTGTTATCTGGAGCTATATTACCTGCTGCTAAATTATTTTACATACATACATACAGTTTATATTTAGTATTGTTATTTATAAATAGTCCACATACATCGTTCCATTCACCCAGTTCATGTATATACTGTGTGTCTGCCCTCCTCTCGTGTCATGTGCACTGTGTGTGGTCTCTGACTTGACTGGAGATTCATGAGAACACACCCTTATCTTCCCCACTCTCAAATCTCTTCTTTATCCCCAGGGAAGAGATTCTGGTAGATGTTTGCAAAAGCCCTGGCTCCTGTTAACTTTTGGATGGTGGCAGCAGAAATTCCATAGTCTGGTGTCTTAAATTAAACTGCTAATCATTAAATAAGAAATATGTTGAGTCTGCAGGAAATCTGAACTTATTCCGTGGAGCAAACCATTCTGAAAGGGAAACAAAACCTGTATGAGCCATTAACAATGGTTTCTTTATAGCCGCCATATCACCCCTGTGGCGCATGGAGAATAGTCAGGCCTGATTTCAAGGCAATAAACTTACATGTCATCAGAAGTTGACACCTAGGGACTTGAAGCGCCGTCAGTGGGCGGGAGATCCCAGCTCAATCGACAGCTTTGATGATGTTGCACCCAAGGGCTTACACTCCGAATCCTAGTTGTCCTCGTTCCTGAGAGATGTCTTTCTTTGCAAAGATGGTAGAGGTGCAGGATGAGAGGTGCATCTCTCTCCAGGAGGCATATCTGTTCAATGCCTTAAGCGCATCATATTTCCCTGCAAATATTTGCCCCCTCCCAATTTCCCTTCCCGTTCCTGGTCCATGGTCTTTTCTGATCTTTGTGGCAAATTGGTCATTACTAGTCTGATGGTGTTGAGAGTAACTAGGCTGGGGAGTCATTTTCTTCACCTCCACAATCCACCCTTTCAGGCTTCTCTAGCATGTTCTAGAACTCGTGGCCATAAGTGGAAATTAGCGAGAGAACATTTAAAAATGAATTTCAGAATGCACGTCTTTACACAGCGTGTAGTTAGAGTATGGAATAGTCTCTCTGTTAGTGTAGCGCAAGCTAAAACCCTGGGTTCCTTTAAGTCAGAGCTAGAAAAGATTTTAACAACTCTATTAGTTAAATTCTGCCAAATTGAGCTTGATGGGCCGAATGGCCTCCTCTCGTTTATAAATTTCTTATGTTCTTATGTTCTATTAGACCCTTTGTTGACACTACAGTAGGGCAACATTTCTCACTAAGGCACATATGGTCACTCACAGGGCAGGTTTTGATTAAATATCTCCAGAATCGCTTGACTTTTTAAAATTTTTTCATTGTTTTATTTTTTGCTCTTTGGACTCCTTAGCTTAAATCAGGAAGGTGAAGAAAGACAAAATCGAATGGCTGTTGTCTTTTTAGTACCCAGATTGGAGACTGCTATTAACAACAAACTTGTTGTGTGAGGTTATGCAAGTTTACTTTATTAGTTTGCACCCAGTAGGTGCAAAATCATACTCAGTTCAAGCAGAAAGAAGTGATGTCACTTCCTGTGCAAAGATACAGCCCTTACTTGTCTTTTGCTTAAAGGTTTTGTGTGAAGAAGCTTGTTGAAATACAAAATGATGACAGTAATACCCCCAATGCTTTTCATCAAGATCTGACATGAGCACGAGAAAATCCTTAAATGAAATTCCAGTGTCTTCTGTCTTCTTAAAATCTGCCGTCAACACCAAAGTCAAAGCAGTAATCAGTCAGTGTCATGTTTGACCTTTGCCATTTGTTTTATGATGCTTTGAAAAAGTTCCAGAAAATGCCAGTGTGAGGCCCCTGTTATTCCTCATGTGATGTGTCCTGTTAGAAAGATGATTGGTTGTGTTATGGGCCAATGGGGAGGCCCCTGTTGGTCCTCATGTGATGTGCCTGCTGGGCCAATGGGGAGGTGTATTGGTTGGGAAGCTGACACGCTGGCGCTGGCTGCGCCGGTACTCCATGACGATGCTGTGCGGTTGCCCTAGTGACCAGTTCCTCACGATGCTCAAAATGACTTATACATGACCTCACATGGCGGTCGAGTGCCTTCCCTTGAGACGACATGCTCATTTCCTGTTCTCACTGCTCTACGATGCTGACTTGCTGCTTCTCTCAACCACTCCCTTCTCCCCAAATTTAAATTTCCTTCCACAAAGCCCAGGCTTGCCTATGTTTTCTCTTAAATGACTTGAAAGCCTGAAGCTGCTGCTCCTCCCTCCCCCTGATCACGAGAAGCTCTGACATGCACCTTAGATCAGGCTAAGATCAACCACAGGAAGCCTGTTATTTATGATGGAAGCTGACTTGGAATTTCATCATTCTTTAAGGCCCTGGCTTTCCCCTTCTCCTCTTTGATGTGTCAAATCAAACGGGAAAACGGGGAAATGACAAGGTGCTCAGAAGCCCTGGGAGATCCGGGCTGAAGCCCATCCTCTTTACAGTGACTGCATCCTCAGGTCCTGCTTTCATGGGCGCAGCCTTGATCAAACGCCCTGCACATCTGAGTTGACTGTTGAGTTCCGCGTCTGATCCTGTTGCAGCCCTGGACGCTCTCCGGTTCCATTTGACCACGAGATCATCATGATGAATCACGTCTACAAGGAACGGTTCCCAAAGGTGAGCCTAGTGTGAATGACCAGAGTGTGTTAATGCAAGAAATGTTCAACTTATAATGAAAGAGGGCTGACATAAATCATCAGTCAATATTCCATAGAAAGGTTTATATGTACAATTCTCTGCATTTCAGAAGAATTATAAACACATATGGACTAACGCAATGACCAAAACAGTATTGAACAAAAAAATGTATTTGTTAGGGGGGGCAACTCTGTGGGTTGCCAGTTCAGATTCCTGGATCACCAGACTGGTCCCACCATTGGACCCTTGAGCAAGGCCCTTAACCCCAAATGCTTCACGGACTGGCTGACTCTGCTGTCTCCTCTACGCCAGTTTCATGCGGTGGCCTCCTGGGATGCTCTTCCAGCTGTCCTGAAGGAGGTCCCACATATGCTGAGCACTCACTGGCCACCTCTCCTTCAAGGTCCGGTTAAGCTGATCCAAAACCATACTGTGTTTCAGTCAGGTGGCCAGATCATTTGATGCAACACAATCACTTTCCTTTGTAGACGGCTTGGTGTGTCCAAACATTTGACCAGTACTGTATCTGCATGGATACCAACAAATAAGCTGTGAATAAGTAAGAGTTCCTGGTACTGGTGGCACTCCCTTGATCCCCGGTTTGCTGGACAGCCCTTTTCCAAGCCGATTCCCAACCCGCACTTGCTCTCTACCTTTTGCAGGCGACGGCCCAAATGGAGGAGCGTCTGGCCGACTATCTAGGCTCCTTATCTCCGGAGAAGGTGATTCCCCTAGCGGACGGAGTGCTCAGCTTCATCCAGCAGCAGCTGGTCAAGCTGTCCCGGGACTGCCTGCAAAAATCCCAGCAGGGCCTCATCACCTCTCGCTACTTCCACGAGCTGCAGGACAACCTGGAGAAGCTGCTGCAGGATGTGAGTCAGCAGGGTCACACGCTGAAGTTTGGGCTGGGAGGAGACGCATGACATTGATTTTAATTCATAAATTAATAGTTTGTATAGACTTGTGGATTTTTTTGGACGAGTAATATGGTCACAGGACAATTTTATAGTAAGCAGAAGCATCTCTCCATTTTCTATAACCACTTGTCCTAATCAGGGTCAAGGGCCTATGGGCACAAGGCAGGGAACAACCCAGGATGGGGCACCAACCCATCACAGGGCACAAGGCAGGGAACAACCCAGGATGGGGCACCAACCCATCACAGGGCACACTCACACCTACAGGCAATGTGGTGATTCCCATTAACTTCGGCGTGTTTCTGGACTGCGGGGGAACTGGAGTACCCAGAGGAAAAGCCATGCGGAGAACATGCAAACTCCACACACATGGAGCCCAGGCAGAACCTCAAACCCTGGTCCCAGGGGTGTGAGGCAACAGTGCTAACCACTGCACTACACCATGCAACCCACAGCAAAAACATTTACCTACAGATTCCAGTGGTTGATTTTTAATTGATCTCTTCTGGGGCACAAGGAAAATAGGTACTATAATGCCTTTCTGTAGTATTATTCCCAAAAAATTTCACATGTACATCAATTGATTTTCGATTCTGAGATTTTTGGGGTTGCAGGTAACAATTAGCTAGTTGTATAAAATAATGTTTATTTGGTGGGTTCTGTGTGGATCAGATTTGTTTTCCTTTAATGGTTCCGGCATGACTGACATCCTGTCCAGGCTGTCCCCCCCAGCCTTGTGCTCTATGCTGCCTAGGATAGGCTCCAAGCCTCCCCCCATCCATGACCGTGACCAGGATATGTAGTTAGAAGATGGATTCATAGTTCCAGCTTGAGAAGAGACCAAAAGATATGAAGCCAGTGAACTAATCATTCCTTCTGTTCTTTATGGATCAAGATGAATCGCATGAGTTCTGTTAGAAACATGCCGCTCTCTGATAGTCACCCCCCCTCGCAGCTGGGCTTTATTGTCATGTTTCTTGGATGGATTTAGATGGGAAGTAATGTCATCGCAGATGGCACGCATGCCTGAGATGGCTGACATCATTAGTCACTCATCCGTCACATCACTCCTTCAGTGCTATATCCATTGTCTTATTGTTGGGGGGGGGGGTGTTATTTCTCGCCCGGCTCACTGTATATGACTGAAAGGTGAATCATACTGTATGGAGGGAGGGGCTCTCACACCGAGATGGCTGATTGGGCGGGATGTTTGTGTGTGGGCGGGGTCACAAAGGGGGGATTATTTAATCAATCCTGACCCTTTGTGGGGCCCAGGCCATCAAACATTAGCTGGAGTACAAACTGTCAGTTGGAGACCAAAACGGCGACTGGCCGTAGTGTGGAAAGTGGGAGTGAACCGATGGCCGTACACAGCGTCCGGACAGCGTGCGGGTAACGGGACTCCGTGAAGGATGACCGGGAGGTCACCACAGGGGTGCTGGCGGGGCGAGCTCTTGTTTCACGGCACTGCAACGTGCTCCTACGGGACACCCAATCAGCTGAGTCCTCTCCACTTTACTCATTTATTACCCATAATCCTCTACCTAGAATGGAGCCAAGCATGTCTTTATGTTGCGTGTGTGTTGTGGTGTAGAATCAAGAGCTGATCGTACATGTGTACCTCTGAAGTTAATTTAAGGTCCAGCCTGTTGGTGTGGGGGAATGTTTACTTCGCTGTAGACTGTCAGAGATGTGCTGTCTTGCTTAATTAACTTCCTCGCACACTTCACACTTCACTGTGGGCACTAACCCCACTCTCACACACCTGACTTTCCAGCGAGTCCCGTTACCGCCGTTACCGCCGTACAGGCAGTCCTTGTCTTAAGAATGTCTGACTTATGGACGACTCATACTTACAGATTGCCAGAAACCCTGTTATATTAACAATTCGGGTTAAATTCAATGGTTTGTAATAATAACGCACCTAGTACTTTGTGACACTCGTGAAATTATTTTGCGGTTTGTCAGCTTGAGGTACAGTATAGTACCACGTGAACTTTTTATTATTACTGTAATATTATTAATACTATGTACTGTATTAGTAATGTTTCGACTTACCTCCGTATTTGACTTAAAGACAGATTTAGGGACCGAATCTTGTTCGTAACCTGGGTACTGCCTGCACATCACCCCATTGCAGACACTCTGCCCCCATTATCTCTGCTCTCATGCATCCTTGTTCTTTGCAAGCGGTTTTTATGGATCATTTCTTGCTTTTTCAGGTAAGTTTGGGTAATTCAATTTTTTTCCCAGGTAGTACATACCCTGCATGGAAGGTCAGTCCATCTTAAAGTGCAAACACACACACACACACGCATACACACACGCACACAATGGGCAATTTTGAGACTCCAGTTTACCTAATTGCATATTTTTGATTACTCTGAGTAAACAGACACATGGGGAGAACACACAGACACTCAGCTAAGAGAGGAATGAACCTGACAGCCCAGGAGGTATGAGGCCACAGTGCTAATCACTGAGCCACTACGACACAGTAATATCAAGGAAATAACAGATGTGGAGATGCAGGATGTAGATTGAAATAGTCTGGGGAGCAGTACGTGTTATGGAGTGGTATGGTGAGTCTTTGCAGAATGATGGAAGCGAAACGGTGTTTAGCCCCACCCTCAACGGTGTGACCATGTGGTTCCCTCAGCCAATGGCGGGTCATGACAGCCAAGTGATGTAATCACGGACAGGCTCATGAGCGGTCAGAGAGCGCAGAGGTGGCCTTCGTCACGCAGCTGGTGAGGAAGCTGATGTTCGTCATCGCCCGGCCTGCGCGGCTGCTGGAGTGTCTGGTAAGGGGGGGGGGGGGGGGGTATCCCAAACCCAATCAGTCTTTTTCTGTTTTGATTATCAGGTACTTCAGCTTGGATGACAACATTCCAGTCAGGAGCCCGTTACTCTTTACTTAGTTAAGCAGGTCCCATGTTGAAAGCTTTGCAATCTGAAAACAGGAAGCCTGTCCTGTCATTATCATTGCAGTTGTAGCCCGTTTGAAATCCAGTGGCATTATTGTTAATTGTCTTAACTGTAACTGCATAATTTAACATTATAAAGTAACACTTCTAGCTGGCAAAGGACCAGGCTGATTGGCCCCTCCTACTTTTACTGAAGCCCAGCTTATCAAGCCAATAAGTCTGCTGGGCACTTATATCAAGAATTCAGTCACCCTTGCGACAGCATATAGAATGGCCTTGATAAATTTTGCCAGTCCTGGGAGGTTTTATTAGGCAGGCAATAAAGTAAAAACAATTCTTATTGGCTGACGGAACCATTTTATCATATCATGGTATACTCCAGGATGTGCAGTATTGTCAGTTATTAATAATAGTGTATGTGAAAGAGGCTTAAAAAGTGACCCAGGTAAGGGGTTGGCTTATGAATATTACAGGGGCATTAGCTGGGTTGAGAGAAGACTTAAGGTCGTTGTAAACTTTCGCCCTGTTTCGTAGGAGTTTGACCCTGAAGAGTTCTACCACCTTCTGGAAGCTGCGGAGGGCCATGCCAAAACGGGCCAGGGCATCAAGTCGGATATCCCCCGTTACATCATCAGCCAGCTGGGCCTCACCAGGGATCCCCTGGAGGGTAAGTACCCACAAGTCCCCCTGAACAGGCTACTGGAAATGCAGATAAACTGTCTCAATAGACACTGAAATATTTATGCAGTGGGGTAGGGAAGGTCATATGAGAGCTAAGGGTGCCAGTGTTCCCCTCCATGCAGAAATGGCCCAGCTGAGCAGCTATGACAGCGGCCACCCCGACACCCCCGAGACAGACGATTCCACTGAGGTGAGCCGGCTGTCCCTGAGCAGCAGAGAGTGTCCCCCCATCCTCAGGCTGACCCACGTCCCTATTCCTGCCTTGCAGAGTCGCAGTGCCTCGGTACAGCAGGTCAAAGCCATGGCCCCACGAGAGGAAGACTTTGAGAACATTAAGCTGATCAGCAATGGAGCTTATGGGTGAGCCACCCTGGGACTCATTTCAAAACCCATTGTGCGTCCTCACACTGAATGGGTCACTATTGGGTCGGATGGACTGCAGGCCATGCATGGGATTCTGAGGTAGACAAGTTCCAACTGATCTGACACACAATTCTATGTTGTGTGTCCTCTCTGAAGTGTGGTCTACCTGGTGCGGCACAAGGAGACACGCCAGCGCTTTGCCATGAAGAAGATCAACAAGCAGAACCTAATTCTGAGAAACCAGGTCCAGCAGGCCTTCGTGGAGAGGGACATCCTGACCTTCGCGGAGAACCCATTCGTGGTCAGCCTGTTCTGCTCCTTTGAGACGCGCCGGCACCTCTGTATGGTCATGGAGTACGTGGAAGGTACAGTGAGCCTCTGTGGGTCATACCTACAGTACACGCTTAAAATACGTTGGGCTACTTCATAATCCTGGTACCACTTTACAATAAGGCTCCCTGTTGCCACTTATAAATGGTATAGGGCTGTAACTAACAACTATTTCTCTATGGATGAATCTATCAAATAAATTACCGACTGGTCGATTAACCTAAATGATAAATTTTCCTGCAGAAAATCAAATTTAATTTAAGTTGACAGCAACAAACTGTATGTTATTGCAGTTATTTAGTAATCTGTATACATTTGGTGTATCCTTATGCTTATTAAATTCGGTTAGCGTAGCATGTTTTGCTGATTAAGGTCCGACTCGTTTATTTGGTAAATATCATTTTAATTTTTATTTCAGTTAACGATTTTTTTTTCATTAGATTCCGTTTTCCTTTCAGTTTTATTTTGCAGAAATAATACTGGTCCCAACAAACCCAATGCTCACAAACAGACACATTGGTACCGTCAATCAATGTACAATATAAGCCCAGATTTTAGCCTAAACATATTCTCAAACACTTATTCAATTGACATTCTAAGGTAGCAAGCAGAAAAGTTCATTGGTTTAATAATGAGTGTAAAAAAAATATGGCAAATGATATTAAGAAGCTCACTGTACTAATGGTAATTTAATAAACATGAATTGACAACGCTTACGATGGTTTTGCTTATTCTGGCAGTACAGAATAGCGGTTGTGTGTTGCCATCGAACTTTGCAGAGTGTAAAACCATCTTTTTGGTTTTTTTTTCTTTTTGGGGTGGAAGGTTTGAGGAACCTCTGAATATCAAATAATGTGTGCTGGACCTGGGACCTTATTTCGGAGATGGCAGGAGTGGAATGATGAATGATTAATGATGAATTGTCTTCACTAACCACTTTGGTCCTGGGGCATTTGCTGGTTCCTGCCAGGTGGGGACTGTGCAACCCTTCTGAAGAACATCGGGGCTCTACCCGTTGACATGGCCCGGATGTACTTTGCTGAAACGGTTCTGGCTCTCGAGTACCTGCACAACTACGGCATCGTTCACCGGGATCTGAAACCTGATAAGTAAGACAGTTCAGCTTACATATCTGACACAGCAAATCTGCATTATGTTTTTGGATATGCTGTTGAGCATATTCCGTATTTGTGAGTTTTTTGATTTTGAAATCCACACTTTTCTAACATTTCTTTATGTGTAGTTATTGATGGTCAGACTTTTGTCTCCTGTTTAGTTGTGACTGAGCTCTTCTTCTGTACAGTTTGCTCATCACATCGATGGGACACATCAAGCTCACAGATTTTGGGCTCTCCAAGATTGGGCTGATGAGCCTGACCACCAACCTTTATGAGGGGCATATTGAGAAGGACACACGACAGTTCTTGGACAAACAGGTTGATCCTGCCTGCCAAGCCAATTGATATCTCTGATATCAACTGAAGCTGCAGTTTTGAATAGTTCTGTACTTCATCTGATGTGTGTTCACAGGTCTGTGGCACTCCAGAGTACATTGCTCCAGAAGTGATTCTTCGGCAAGGCTACGGTAAACCAGTGGACTGGTGGGCCATGGGGATCATCCTATATGAGTTTTTGGTGGGATGTGCCCCATTCTTTGGAAATACACCAGAGGAGCTCTTTGGACAAGTCATCAGTGGTTGGTACCAGTTTTACCACCTGGGGAATTCTGAAGTAGTCCATATTTGTATCTTCCCCCAAGTGCTCTCTATATTCCATTAATTATGTGACATCTTGATGCATCACATGCCTCTTTCATAATATAGACAAGATTGTCTGGCCAGAGGAGGATGAAGCCCTGCCAGCCGATGCCCAGGACATCATCTCTAAACTGCTCCGTCAGAGTCCCCTGGATCGGCTTGGAACAGGTGTTTCTCTATACCAGGGCTACTCAAATCATGGTCCTCAAAGTCTGAGCACTGCTGATTTTTCAGCCTCCCTTTACCTGTGAGGCAGGTGTGAAGCCTCTGACCAGTCAGAATCAGTAATTATAAAACTAACTACCTAGGAGAACTGAAAACAAGGTCTAGATTTGGAATCGAAGGCCAAATTTGGAGAGCCCTGCCCTATACCGCAGAAATTCCAACTGAATCCTGAAGTGGGCACATACAGTACCATGGATGTGTGTTTGTGTGCAGGCAGTGCCTTTGAGGTGAAACAGCATCGCTTCTTCACGGGCCTGGACTGGACCGGTCTGCTGAGGCAGAAGGCCGAATTCATCCCTCAGCTCGAGTCAGAAGACGACACCAGCTACTTCGACAGTAAGCCACTCCAGTCTTGCCCACTCCCAGCTGTTGGCCTGTGCATGGATTCAGCAGTGAGGACCCCTCCTACAGTCTCCCTGGCATTTCTCTATTCAGCTCGATCTGACAGGTATCAGCATCTGGATTCTGAAGAGGACACCAATGATGATAAGCTTGTGGAGATGCGCCAGTTCTCATCCTGCTCTCCTCGGTTCAACAAGGCAAGTCACCGCATGACAAGCAGTGACGCAACCGATCACCCCCCCGTACTTATTATTGATCTGTTCAGATCTCCACTTTCATTTCGGGGATATACAGTACTATGCAAAAGTCTTAGGCAGCCAAAGAAAATGATGTTTAACTGATATTCATGTTGGTGTAAAACTATGCTATTATGTCTGTCAAACTGTCAAAGTGTATTAGCTTAGCCATTTCAAAACTTCTGCTAAAATCGGCCCAATATTTGCAGGAACCATCCAGTGCACCCATGTGTTTTTTGACTCGGCTGCTATTTAATTAATTAAATGAGCTGGTGATGAAATTTAATAAATACTGAACTGGGAAACTGAAGTGGTGTTCGTCCAGCCATCCATCTAGATATTAGTAACATTTTGGAGAACAGAAGAAATTATTACTAGTTTTTATTGTGTTACTCTTAATTTGCATATGTTCTAATGTCAAATAGAGTTTTTGTTCTGAGCAAATGTGCAATTACTACCCAGATAAATGGCTTTAAACATTTCTTTGCACTGCCTAAGGCTTTTACCCAGTTCTGTATGTCAGTGACCTCTGAAGATCTCCTGCCTTCTCCCTCTAGGTTTACAGCAGCATGGAGCGTCTGTCCCTCGTTGAGGAGAAGCAGATACCACCGACCACTAAGTGCAGCCTTAGTGAGGAAGGAGGGGATCGCACCCACAGCCTGTGCGGCCCCAGGTCACATGACCGTAACTGGATGGCAGGCTCCCCTGAGATGTGAGTGCAGTTGTAAAGCGTCTCTGAGGCTACGAGCTTGATGGCAGGACAGACCAGCTGCATGTGTCTGCCCTCAGTTTGCGCAAGAGACTGTCCATGTCAGAGTCGTCCCACGCGGAGAGCGACTCCAGCCCGCCGCTGATGGGGAGGCGCCGCTGCTGTTCGGCCATCATCGAGATGCCACGTTTCTCCATCTCCGGCGAGGGCGAGGTGCCCAGCCCCGCTCAGCCCTTCCACACATTGATTGGGGGGGCCCTTGGGGAAAAGCTCTTCCTCCCCATCCCAGAGCAGCCTACCGAGAGGCGGCTGAAACTGGAAGCATCACCCACCAACAGCCAGCTCAGTGAAATCCCCCCAGCCGGTGAGTTTGGGTCCCAATGCAATTCACAATATCCTGCTCTGACTATGAAAGCTTATTACATACTAAGCTCTCATTTGAAGCCTGTGTTCTTAACAGCTCAGACTTTCTTTCCTCTTAAGGGGGGAAAACCTTAAATCTGTATTCTTGTATTATAATGTCTCTAATGCTTGTCCTGGTGACATGTACCTGATTTTTAATGAAGAGCGTAACCTGGGTGACCTGAGCATGAATAACGTGTATGTTCAGTGAATGACCCATGTATGAGTAACATGTATGTTCAGCCCACCGTATCCACGGATCGAAAATATGCTGAAAGAAATGTCCAGGAAATTCTGAAAAGCAAAACTTGAATTTGCCGTGCTTCAAGCACTACGCTGAATCCATGTGAATGAAGTCACATGTAGCTTTGGCTGTTGGTGAGTGGTAACACAGTTCGTGTGTTTCAGTGTGAAACAGAGAATGACTTTATATTTTCTCTATTTATGATTATATTGTCTGTATGTACTATGACGGTCGAGTCTGTACTGAACATATACTGACTTTTTTCATACTTTTTTTTTTTATACTATCATTATTCCCTAAACAATACAGTAGTAAAACCATTAACATAGCATTTATGCTGTATTAGGTATTATAAGTCATCTAGGGATGAGGTAAAGTACATGGGATGATGTGTGTAGGTTATATGCAAATACTATGCCATTTTATGCAGGGGACTTGAGCCTCTGCGCACTTTGATATCCACGAGGAGTCCGGGATCCACTCCCTCATAGATGCGGAGTGTCGACTGTATGCACTATAAATGGCCCATGTGTGAATAGCATGTATGCAGAGTAAATGACCTTGTGAGTTTGCAGCAGGCAGCAAGGGTAACGTGTCAGACTGCGGGGCCACCAAGGGGCCCCCCGGCACCGATGCCCCCAGGGCCATCAGTGACCTGGCAGCCCGCCGTGCCCGTCACAGGCTGCTCTCGGGGGAGTCGGCGGAGAAGCACGCCCTGCGGCCGCTCAGCAAGGTCATCAAGTCGGCCTCGGCCACTACTCTGTCGCTCCTGATCCCAGGAGGTAAACCTACACGGCTTCCCCCACAGGCCTGCCTCCATGCTTCCTGTCACATGACCTAAGAGTCGCCATCTCTCCAGCAGAGCAGCACGGTACCTCGCCCCTGGCCAGCCCAATGTCCCCCCACTCGCTGTCCTCCAACCCCTCCTCACGGGACTCCTCCCCCAGCCGGGAACTGTCACCCGCCATGTTCCGCGCCAAGCCAGCCGTCATCATCCATCGCTCCGGCATGAAGTACGGCTTCACTCTGCGTGCCATCCGCGTCTACATGGGTCACACGGATGTCTACACCATGCAGCACATGGTTTGGGTGAGTGGACTGTGGAGGAGAGCGGGACCACCACTCTGCCACTTCACCTCTTTCCTTGGTCGAACTTGCTGCTGCTGCTGCTGATGATGATAATGATGATGCTTGTGCAGTGCAAGGTCATGGAAAGCCTGGAACTTCTCCTAGGGATTGGAATTCAGGGCAGAGGACACCCCATTGCAGAACAGGCACTTACACACACACATCAAAATTGCCATTTCGCCTCACTACCAGATTTTAGACTTTGGGAGGAACCTCAGTAGGAAAAAGGAAAAAGAAAACTACGCGCACACACACACACACATACAGACACGCGCTTGGTGTCCCTATCTAAACGGAGATCTTCCATTCATTTCTATGGGAAAACCCTAATCTCAATCACGACACCCAGCCCTATCATTAACCATAAGCAAGACTTTTGGCATTTTTACTTTTTTGATTGCACTCACAGAATCTTATGAAATTGAGTTTCTTCTTTTGGGGACTGAAAAAATAGTCCCACAACATCAAAATAACAGGTTTTGATAACACATTACTTAAAACTGTCATCTATAATGCATTATAGATACCTTCATAATGCATTATAGTGGTTGGTATGAGCATTAAGGATGCTTTGTACTGCATTATAAAGGTATCTATAGAGTTGCATAACAGACATGACAATAATGTGTTCTGCCTTTTTCCAAGTACAGTATTTATAGCCGTGTTTAAAATGCTTTATGAATGGATTATAATATTGTATGAATGTGTTCAGAGATTCCTATAGACATGGCATGTTACCCAGGTTGATATACATGATGTATATACTGTATGATGTATACATGATGTGTATATACTGTATGATGTATACATGATGTATATATGATGTATACATGATGTATACATGACCACATGCACACACACACACACACACACACACACACACACACGGGAGCTCGATTCCCCCCAACACTGGAGGCCTGCAGCTGCGGTACTGACCACTGATCCACTTACACTATAAATCACACACGTTACACAGATTCTAACTATAAATCTAAATAATTTGACAGTAGAAGGTTTGGTTGGTGTAGGAAGCTGTTTATGTAGTGAAACATGCTTGTAAAGCTATGGCTCTGGTTCTCCCTCGCCCCCAAGCACGTGGACGAGGGGGGCCCAGCCCAAGAGGCGGGGCTTGGAGAAGGTGACCTCATCACGCATGTGAATGGGGAGTCCGTACATGGCCTTGTGCACACGGAGGTGGTGGAGCTCATCCTCAAGGTGAGGATCATGCAACCACATGCATCCACACAGACAGATGCTTGGGAAAAACACACACTTAGTCACTCTCTGACTCCACCCCCCTCAGAGTGGCAGCAAGGTGTCGATCTGCGCAACCCCCTTTGAAAACACTTCCATCAAGGTTGGGCCGGCCCGCAAGGCCAGCTGCAAGTCTAAGATGGCACGCCGCCGTAAGGCCAGCCGGACCAAAGAGGTCCAAGACAGGTGGGGCTTCACCTCCTGGTGTACACCAGTAGGTGGCGTGGTCATGAAAGAGCTGATGACATAAACTATGTATGATCTCTGTAACAAGCTGTGGATAAATGCATTTCTTATATTGCTAACCAGCACGGTTTTGTGCATGTTTGCGCAGCGGTAAGAAGACGACATCCCTGTTTCACAAAATTACAAAGCAAGCCTCCTTCCTGCACACCAGCCAGAGCCTGACCTCCCTCAACCGCTCCCTGTCCTCTGGAGAGGGCATCCCCCGCTCCCCCACGCTGGCCCTGTCCCCCCGCTCCCCCACCCAGGCCTACCGCTCCACCGTGGACTTGGCCCTGTCAGGTGAGCGTTGTTTTAACCCCAGGCAAACTGCAGCTGTTATGAACACGTACAAGACTACTAGCGAGGATTCTTTTTAACATTAATGCTAAAGACACTCTAGACAGGTTTAACAATCTTCTCTTAAATTGGGGTCTATTCTGTACATTTCAGCTGGATTTTTGGGGTCTTTTATTAAATGTGCTTGTCCTGTTCTCTCCCAGCGGGGGGTACCTCATCCCAAAGCAGTTCTCCCGGCTCCAGCGTTCCCAACTCACCGGCCAGCTCTGGCCACATGCGACCCAGCTCCCTGCACGGCCTGGCTCCCAAACTGCAGCGCCAGTACCGCTCGCCCCACCGCAAGCCTGCCGCTAACATGCCGCTGTCGCCACTGGCCCGTACCCCCTCACCTACACCGCCGGGCCGCTCACCACAGCGCTCACCCTCCCCGCTGCCCGCCCATGGCCCGGGAGCCTCCGGCACTGCCCAGCCCTTCCCCGCCAGGCTGCACTCGTCGCCCCCGATGGTGCGGCCCATCAGCCGGTCCAAGCCCGCCGAGTCGCCCCGTTCGCCGCTGCTCAGGCGTGTGCAGTCCACTGAGAAGCTGTCCACCTCCTACTCGTCCTCTTCTTCTTCCTCATCCTCTTCCTCGGTGGTCCTGGTGCAGATGGGCAGTCTGCAGAAGCACCCAGCCCGTAAGCTGGTGCCCGTAGAGGACTCGGAGGCAGGATCCGACGCCCTAAGGCTGGGCCCGGGGAAGAGCAACCTGAAGGACAAACTCTCAGCCATCCGGCAGGACCGGGCCGAGTGGCGGGAGTCCTTGCCAAAGCAGGACGCCATCCATGAGGTGGACTCCTCCGAGGACGATGTGGACGAGGCCCCCGAGGAACGCCAGGCCAGGGGACCTACCTCCCGTCCTCAGAGGCTTGCGGTCAAACCGGAGGACCCTCCTCTAAAACGTAGCCTCTTGTCATTTTCTCCTGGGTTCCCCTCCCCTGCCATGCCCAAAGTGCCACCCTCCACCTCCCTCCCTGAGAGAAGTGCTGGGGCAGCAGTCAAAGGGGCTGCTGGGAAGGGTGTTGGGAACCCAGCGGAGTCCGTTGTTAGCACTCGATTGTCCCTGTTCCCACAGCAACTGACACATGGTGCCTTCTCCTTTATGACCAAGGGTGCCCCCCAGAGGCCACTCTCTGCAGACCAAAACTTCTCCATGAATGAAGCGAAGGTTACCCAAGAGGTGCCACCCAAGAAGACCACCCCATCCAGGGATTGGATGCCCTCAGCAGGCACCAGTGTGGAGAGGAAGGAGACAGACAAGAGGAAGCAGGCTATGAGCACCGCAGCCACTCAGCAGCTGGAGCAGTTGGTCTCCCACCCAGTCAGCATGGCCAAGAGCATGATGCCACCAGTCCGCATGAGCATGCCCAGTGTGAGGGCTTCTGAGAAGTCCAAGGACCTGCAGTCAGTGGCAATGTCACAGTCAAAAAGTAAGGAGCGGAAGCAGGACCAGAGAACCCCCACTGCTGCGAGCATGTCCCTGTCCTGCAGGGACCCCTACGCCCAGGCTGGGTCCTACAGGGAGGCTTCCAACCAAGATTCCTCCAAAAGAGAGTCGCTCCCAAGGCAGCCCCCATTTGCTCCGGACCTGGCTGCCACTCAGGATGGGTGGAGACCTGCCATGGCTAAGGACCTGAACCAAGCGCCCCCTAGTGGATTAGCTGAGACAGGGCTGACTGTGGAGAAGCGCCTGCAGATGGAGCGGCTCCTACAGACACAGGGCTTGCCGGCAGAGCAAACAAAGAGACAAACTGCTCCAGGTCCGGCATTGAAGTTGCAGGGTCAAACACTCAAGAAAACGTAGCAGCGAGTAGAGAGAAGTCCATTCCGGACCGATTCCGCAAACGCCACCTGCACTCTTAGTATTTTCTGCGTTTTTTTAATCATTATCATAATTTTGCAGTTCTCAAGGGCTCAGAGACTGTCCTCCCATAGTGAGGGATCTTCTGGGGGGGGGGTTGGAGGACAGGTTGTGCCGTGTCACTGAGGCCACGTGGATGGCTTTTTGGTGGCCTATTTCACCGACGCTTGTCACGTCACAGACAGCGTCAGGCCCTCCATCTGTTCCCGAACAGCGGAGCAGGTTGTGCCTTAATGAACATAATAATTCACGTTCAGCCACCTCCTACTCCGTTAGCCACCCCTGGGAGGGTGGGTGTATCTCAGCAATAAAGGAAGCATATGTTTAGCAGTTTACATTACATACACATTTAACAGACTCCCTGTATAAACCAAGCATACGGAATCAACTTTTTTTCCATTTCCAATGTGTGTTGTTTTTTTTATTTTGTCATTATAGAGGCCGAATGAACTATTCTTTTTGTATTTGGGACAGAGGTTTTAAAAAACTGCCTTTCCTCATTCACAGGCTGTTGTTCTGAAGAACTGTGGTTCTGCACTGTAATGTCTAGGCTTTCTTGCCCGGGATTGTTTTTCATGATTGTTTCCAGTCATTTTCATTCAGAGATCCACGGCCCATTTGGATATAGGATATGTCCCTGACCTGTGTGTGTTTTCCGGGTGTGTATGGAATAGCCATTTCATTAGTGGGCCTGTCCTTCCATCACTGAGATAATCATTTAATCACTGGGATTTTCACCTTACCACCAGGACAATAATTCTATTGCTGCAATAGTAATTTCATCACTGGGTTAGTCATTTGATTTCTTAAATTGTCATTTAATTACTGGGATTGTCATTAATCAATAGAATAGTCATTTCAGTCAGTCAAAACATGAAGCCTCAGAAAGGCAATTTATTAATTTTCACCCCCCAAGGAGAATCCTTCAGATTGCTGCTGAATATATCATTTTTTGTCTGTTTTCTCATCTGTTCCCTTCTTGTTCTGTGCTGTAAAACCTTAGCGGTAATTTTTTTAGGTACACCTGCTCTTACACGCAAAAAGCCAATGACGCGCATACAAAGACAAGTTTAGGAGGTTGAGTTACTGTTTGGCTATGCGATGTAATGGATAAGGTGCAAAGCTGGGTCCTGCCTACTACTCTGTAGGGGTGCCTTTTCAAGTGCCCACTGAGTGTGTCTGCAGTTTTTGTACTTACATTCTGCTTGTAGCCCCGAGAGAGGTGGCCATCTTGGTTCGTGTACATTCCTCTCAGCCACTCCCCATCGCCATCGCCTGCTTGATTGGCCACACGTCGCTTTGTTTTCTGATTCTGGTGATTGCAGTGATCGGGGGGGGGCACCTGGGATTTGACCCAGCAACCTTCTGGTTACAAGACCTGTTCTGCTTTATAAATGGCAGGCCAGGCCGCTTGATTCATTCTGCTCTTGCATCATTTCATTGCTACCTGCTTGGCTTGTTGGACTCCCACCCCTGAGGTTCACGGCTGTGCGGAGTCAGCGTTTCCGCGGCGACAGACCTGCAGAGGGCAAGAACCGCGTCACAAATGAGGCACAGGAATGGGAAGGAGTGGAAGCCCGGCGCCGCTAATTAGTCCGCGCTGACTGGAGGCCCGAGGACATGGGCAGCTCCCATCTGGCTCTGCTAAGTGCATGCCAGGACGCTACACTGCGATGGTTAGCATATAGATCAATATCCAATTTGTTTGCACCCCGCCTCACAGATCACGGCCATAATGAGCAGCAGCAATGCGACATCTCCCACTCTGTAAGAGGAGGAGACGTTTAACCACTGCCAGTCATGTTTCTGCAGTGTGACACTTCCTCTAGGCGTCAGTGAAGGTCAAAACAGATATACAAGAAACCAGGTGTGTTGGGAGGGGGAAACATCACCTGACTCACCCTCCCAGGATGGGCCGCTGGTCACATTCTATCACCATTTTATTCCGTTAGCTCAGTTTTTTATTTCAAGTTGAATATAACATGATATTTCACAAAACACTGCAGTCCAGACTCAGCTGGGTTTTAGTTCGTACAGGAGCTGGCCAGCAGGTCATGCTGCGTGGAAATGAAGGTGAGACTCCAGGAGCCCAAGATGAGTTCATGTTTAAGGTGATTAAATCTAATTAAACATTACCAGTCTCTTAATACCAGCGATAAATTACAGAGAAATTTCATTTTACATCCCTCTTGCAACTTCAGGGAAGCCCAGGACGCTGTGTTGGGAACGCCCCAGACAGGATGCCAGGCTGTCATTGGGCACAATGACTCACTTATAATCTTCAGTTTTCCTAGTTTGTTTTTGGAGGAAACCCATGTGACATGTGTAGAGCATGCAAGATGCCCCCATACACCCAGCAGGATCCAAACCGCTGAGCTGTGCTCTTGTGAGCCATCAGTGCTGCCTATTGAGACACCATGCTGTCATTCATTTCTGCTGTATGGGAACTATATGGCACCCCTGAATTTTCCGTACGACGTCTTATGGGGAACGGCGTGGATGCGGATTCTAGGGGTCACCTAGCGGCACAGAAGTGCAGAGTGGAACCCCAGCAGTTCTCTGGGGAACAGATGTTCGACCCTGAGACTGAAGCACGTGTTGCTGGAGGACCTCCAAGACCTCCTTGCCACATCTGAAGCCCAATGTATCCCCCATTTGCACACAGGTTGCTGTCTCTGTTGGAGGGCTGGATTCATGGTTTCTGTAGGGTGGAAGACTCAGCCATCTTGTTTATAAACTGACTTAGCTCAGTGTTCCTCAGTGCATGTGTGTAAGGCAGAGCGTTATGGATTAGTGAGTGCAGACCCATTTGGTTACGGCAAAACCAGTGCGATGTTTGATAACTGCAGTAAGTCAATGTTGCCATAAAGCTTTCTTTATTATAATAAAATTTTAAACGAAAATGTGGCTGAATTTTTGAGGTTGACCTTTAGTAGTTATGAGACTTGAACACAAGGCTTTGAAGATTGCTGAGCCCTGTATTGGCCGTGATGGAAGCTCAGCGGGTTATCAGGTTGCCAGTGCCTGTTATCAGGTTGTAGGTTCAAGTCCCATAGACAACACACTGCTGGCCCCATTGGGCCCTTAATCCCTGATTGCTCCAGGATGGAGGATGGTTGACTTAGCGCTGAGACCCCCACGCTCGCTCTCACCAGTGCCTGTGTGTCTCGTGGAGAACAAGACGGGATTGGTGAAGACATAATTGCTCCATGGGGATGAATAATGTGTCACTGTCATATTCTGTTAATCACAGCCTGGTTTTATCCAATGAGAGTGAATTAGGTATACAATGGAAAATGGTTTAAATCAGGAAGTGACTGACAACGGACCCTGATATTGGGAGGAGGAAGCACCTCAGCACATTACTGCACGGGAGTCCAATATTTCTCCTCAGCGAGCTGGATAAAAACACCCTTGGCCCCTGGGGCCGCCTGTCCCGAGTTTGGGTGGCTGATCAGTCCCTGGATTTAGCCTCACTGTGGTGGGGGGTGTGCTCTTTCGAAGGGCCGTGATACCAACCCCCCCCCCACCACCACCCCGGCGGCGAGCCCTGACAGCCGGCAGCGCCGATGATGAATGGCTGCCCTGGCCCACTGCTGACAGCGGCCCTCGCGGCCGGCCGTCACGTCGCGGCCCGCCCCGCCTGCAGGGCCGAGCTGCCGAGCTCTCATTAAGGGCAGCGAGCAGAAAATGAGACACCCCCAACTGCTGACAGAGAGTAAATGGGGAAGAATGGGAGGGAATGGATCGAGGCAGTGGGCAAGGCCAGCGGGGTGCAGAGGTAAGACATGGCTGCTCTCCTTTGTCCTTCAATTGAGATTGACTGGCTGCTTCCTGTCTCCACTTGGAGAAGAAAGTGGTCCAGAACAAGTGCCGCCATCTACCAGAACGTGGAAATGTGGAGCCAAATCACGCTGGTGCCTCTGAAATTCCCTTTTGCACTGGCCTGTTGCAACGAGGCTCTTAAAGTCACTCGATGCTCAATCGATAGCTATAATTCGAGGGTCACAAAGTTGAAAAACAGCAAGCAAATGCCCCCGATTAGGGCTCATGGTTCTGATTTAGAGTTTGTTAGAAATAAATTGATGATACCCATCCATTCACCACCAGGTCGCGAGTCTGGGGCCTGTGCCAGGATGCACATCACAGGGCACAAGACGGGGGACGCGCCAGGCAGTACACTGGCACAAGCGTCACAGGGCAAAAGGCTTGTTCTCTGCATAGACACAAGGGTACACAATGGTCAAGTGACACAATTTTCATCATCAGCCAAGAACGAGTGGTCGACCGCAACCCTGAACACGTGCTTTTGGATTTTTGTGTCCTATGCGCGTCAGCCGCACATGTGCAGCAGAAACCATGGAAGCTTTCAGTGAGTGAAATCCACTGCAACCCATAGGATTACAGTCCATCCATTGAGAGAAAACAAGGACACCCAAATGTGTACAAATTTGTGCCGTGAAATCGCTCAAACATAATGGAGGAAACAGAAGTGGAAATCTCAGGGAGGAAACACAAAATTATAGCCCTTACCTCTACTGTAAGTTACTTTGGATAAAAGCATCAGATAGATGAATAAAGTGTATAATGTGATTGATTGATCGATTGATTGAATGATTGATTAATTGAATGGAAGTATTTGCGGAGCTAATAGTACTGGGTGTGTGAGGCAGGCATTTGCTCACCTCCATTTATAGTATAAACAGAACCGAGTCCATGCTTGCTGTCTGTGACTGCGTCCGCAGCTGAGCGCTTTGAAGTGTAAATGAGCCTTAACACCAAACTGCATTGCACTCCAGAAGGATAGGGACACGGTGAGCTTAAGGAAGGTCTTTCTGTCTGCTGTCTTCTGGTCCAAAGCGTGTTTTAGAATCACTTCGGCTAAGGTATCTGGTTTATATTTCCAATATGTTTTGATAAAATCTCCTTCTTTTAGCCTGGTCTTGAGCTTAGTGGAATGCTGTTTAATTACAGCCTCAGGGAATTTCACAGCTGTCCATCAAAGTGATAACCAAGGCTGGGTGAAGCTAGCTGCCCAGAGTTATCTGCCGACCCGGTTTAGCGCTCCGTCTCTGAGGCCTTCAGAGGTTAGTGGGGATGTCTGTGGGAGGCAGGTCTTTCAGGGGCCGCTTAATGGATTGTAAGCGGACGAGATGAAAACTGACACCCTGACGTCCACAATCTCAAAATCCTCCAAACCTCTGAGACCTGGGGCTTGGTAGTGGGAGGGGTTAAGGATGATCGATGAGGGGACATTGACGTGAGTTGGCAGCGACCAGGATGTCAGCCATAGAGGAAGATTTGAGGATGGTCAGCACTGAGGGCATGGAGCTGAACTACAGACCAAAAGCTGGTTTGGACAGTTTCCAAAAGCGGAATCACTGTTGCACCTTGGAGCAAGGTACTGAATTCAGTCAAATATATGGGTATATTTGGCTGAATTTATAATTAATTACATTTGCTATTACAACACCATGTACTGAATGGACTGTCTTGGTTTCTGGGTTTTCCCTCTGAAAAAAAGCTTCTGCTTTTACCATTTGCAGTCCAGCACTTAGAAGGACGACCACAGGGAACAGAACTTATAGATGGTTTCATCAGCCGTCACTGCCAACTAGGACCTAGCTCAAACCTGAACCAGCTCGATCTACTAAGGGCCCTGTGACACATTTATTTGCCTGGAATCTGAAGTGCAGAAAAGCCATGAGGTGGTGAAGTGGTCAGTAGGGTGGGGTGAAAAAAATCAAAATTTCCAATAGCAATTTCCAATAGTGCGGAAAAGTTGTCACTGGACCTCGTTATTAAACGTGCAGAATATCTTTGAAATAGGTTAATATTTTCAGGTTCCGCAACGCGATTGAAGTTTTCACCTGTCACATCAATGGGCAATAAACACTATCCATTATCTATACTCATCGTTGTTGTGTTACTGGGTATCATCCATACACATACATTACATCGCTCTGCGGCTCTACGTGCATTACGATTAATCACCTGTCACATCAATGCGCAGATCCACGCTACGTATCATCCATATCATAACGCAATGTAAAATTGTTCTTCAGTGCCACCAAAATGAAAAGTATTAAGCATGACAGTCAAAATGGTTAGATACACTATATTACCAAAAATATTGGGACACCTCAATTCAATGATTTGGAGGGGTGTCCCAATATTTTTGGTAAGACCCAGATGAATAAAGCGGTATAGATAATGGATAGTGTATATTGCCAGTATGTCAGTGTAAGCATGCTCCTGAGCGCCACATTTCTGAATGAGTCGTTTCCCACTTACTCATGGTCACTGATCAATTGTTAGGTTCTTGTATTAAATTGGAACAATTTTACATTGCGTTATGATATGGATGATACGTAGCGTGGATCTGCGCATTTATGTGACAGGTGAAAACTTCGATCGCGTTGCGGAATCTGAAAATATTAACCTATTTCAAAGATATTTTGCACGTTTAACAACGAGGTCCAGTGACAACTTTTCCGCACTATTGGAAATTAATTGCTATTGGAAATTTTGATTTTTTTTCACCCCACCTTAGTGGTCAGCCCTGCTGTGGCCAGCTGACTGAGTGGCTGTGTATAGAGTGACTTCAGTATCGGCAATAACGTTGTTTCCTTTACTCTAAACGTTAACTGTTAATTGTGCAAAAGAGGCACCCTACCTCACACTATACCATAATTTTGAAAAGCACACAAAACAAATTTCTTTAAAGTTTTTAATAGAAATGGAGCAACAGCTTCTTGCTGATTATGAGTCTCAAGGAACAATTTTAGGAAATTGCATTAATGAAATAGGTCTGCGATGGATTGCTGCCCATCCTAGGTTATTCTCTGGCTTGCACCCGTAGCTTCCTGGATAGACTCTGGAACCCTGCCACCCAGCATAGGACAAGTTGGTATGGAAAATACATCGATATAACAGGCATTAAGAAAGGCAATAAGAAAGTTCTGTCATTACACATTTGAACCACTAGGGGGCAGTGCTCAGTTATCTTGTTTGCTGCTTGGACCCACGTTTGCCATCAACTCCTTTATACTGTAGTATTCAACATTTGTGTTCTTTCAATGTAACTCAGTTTTTGGGGTTGAAAGTGCAAGTTTTGTCGCATTATTAAAAGACAAGTTGCTTGCCAGGCAAAAAAGGTATTTTTAGCCAGTAGTATTTGCAGGAGATTTTATGTGTGGTTGACGCAAGATAAAAGTGTAAATGCTTAATCAGAAATACTGATGTGTTTCAACAACAATAGTGCAGAGGACCATTATTAACAGTACCAAAGGCAGAATTTTGTTATACATACTCTTTATATTTACAATTCATGCTTTTGGGCCTTTCAACGGGGTCTTTATTCTTAATCCACTTAAAGCTTGTGGGATGCCTTCAGTGTTTAATGCCGCAAGCAAAACCAGCAAAACAAAGGCTCAAACAGGCTTGCGGGACAAAGTAATGTGAAAGCGGCCATACATTACAAGATGTTTTGCAGGAAAAAGGATTAAACCATGTTTACCATGGATATTGTGGTCTAACAGGAAATATATATTAAAATAAATGTGTTTATTGGCACATATAGGAATAATGGAAACAGGCAGAAGGCAGGTCACACCCAGCTGGTCACAGGACCCACGAGCAAACATCCCGTGGGTCGCCATGTTGGAAGGGCTCCAGGTGAAAACGGGGACCTGTGGCAAGTGGACAAACAGGCCTGGCTTTCTCAGCGGGGCTCTCAGATAGGCGGGCGCTCTGAGGGCCTGAGACCCTGCCAAGGCAGGGGATTATGCAACAGGGTGCTTATGCACCGTTGGATGTGTTTGGACGGCGGCCAAACGTCAGCGAGAGGGAGAGGGGGGAGGGAGCCGAAGATTTAACCCCCCGCTGCCCTCTGCGTCTGTGG